AATGAGAGTTATCAGCATGTCTTACAAGTGGTATAGAACCAGACCCTAAGTAGCCACCATGTAATCTGCACACTGTTTAGTAGTGGTGTCTCTCAGATTAGATGAACATGGAGGGCCTGATAAAATTCTCGGGTGTTATAAGCCAGGAGTAGGTCCATTGCTCAGATTTCATGTTTGGGTATTAAATTCTGCCTATGTAAAATTATCATAGTTTCATCAAGAAAAATTATTCTTAATTTCCCCTGTGTCCAAGCATCTTGGGTGTACAATGCTTCTTAATTAGAATACTACCACTGTACATTCACTTTGCCATGGTATAATTTACTATACAAGGTACAGGGCAGTGGAAAATCAGATTTTAAACCTTAGACATGATCTTCAAGGCACTCAATGAACTGAGATCTGATTACAACATGACTTTCTCATGTAACCAAGCACAATAGTGTAGGCCAACCTTAGGAGGGAAAATGGTCCATAGGAAGATCTTTATCTTAAAACACAGAGTAACATTTTGAAAAGCACACAAGTAAATTTAGGAGCCTCACTCATTTGAGTGATTTTGAAAATGCAATCCATAGTTTTCAGATATGGAAATGTTTGAGAAATATCAGTTTAAATTATGATAGCAAATACAAGGTAAAATAAAAGATGATTAAAAACAAGATCATTGATTTATTTATTAGTTCCCATAATAGAAGAACTAGAGGACACCAAATGAAATTAATGGGTAGCAGGTTTAAAACTAATAAAAGAAAGTTCTTCTTCACATAGCGTGTAGTCAACCTGTGGAACTCCTTGCCAGAGGACACTGTGAAGGCTAGGACCATAAAAGAGTTTAAAGAGAAGCTAGATAATTTCATGGAGGTTAGGTCCATGAAATGCTGTTAGCCAGGGGATAAAATGGTGTCCCTGGCCTCTGTTTGTCAGAGTCTGGAGAAGGATGGCAGGAGACAAATTGCTTGATCATTGTCTTCGGTCCACTCTTTCTGGGGCACCTGGTGCTGGCCACTGTCGGCAGACAGGCTACTGGGCTAGATGGACCTTTGGTCTGACCCAGTACGGCCGTTTTTATGATCAGCTAACAAAACCAAAGTATTAATTATTTAAAGATAACAGATTTACTAACCAAAGGTTTAATGTATATGCACAAACACAAGAAAAGATACTTTATATATACTTGGGATGTAAACATTTTAAAAAACCACTAACCATATGACTGATTGAAATTCAATCAATTACACAGCTAAATGCTGCTGGTGCCGCCAGCCCTGTGGGCTGCTAGCGCTGCTGACCTCATGGGCTCCTAGTGGTTACCAGCCCCACAGTGGAGGCTGGGAGTTTAACTGGTAAGGTGAACTAACAGGCTAATATCCCTAATATATACACAGGTTAATTACACTAACTAACTTTTATTGGCCTGAAAAATTATTACTCTTCCTTAAGTATTCTACAACTGCAAAAAGTCTTTCCAACTGCTTCTCCACAGAGACTCATTTCAACACATCAGTCCCTTCTTTGATTTCAGGGACATGAGAATAACCTGTAGACTTCAGGCTGGAAAAAAATTATTCAGGGTTCCCAGATTTTTCCTTTATGTCTTTCACATGGAAGTCAGAACAATTACAAGCTTAATACACAATTCTAAAACTCCTGAGATAGTGTAAATGTAGAAATAGAGCCCTATGCCCACACGAAATAGTGCAGCAAAAATGAGCCGCGTATGTGGATACCCGTGGCTATAAATCAGATGCCCGCGAGACTGCAGGGTTCTAGATGCAACATTTTGTCGGTGTCTGTAAAAACAAGGCGCAGATATTTGCCTCAGTGTCTGCGGATACAAAGCAGATAGCCGCAGGCTTTTGAGGCGCTAAGTACAAGCTCTCTGACTAAACCCTCACCTGCTGGAGCCGCCAATCAGAAAAGCTTTTGAACATGCTCAGTTGCTCTAGGTACGCAATGTGATCGCTAAACTGGGACGCCCTGGTCCGGCAAGATCCATGCTCCAGCAGGGCCAGAGTCGTGGTGCAGGAGGATCAGTGGCATGGAGTGGGGCTGGGTGGCAGCCTGGCCGGAGCTGGGCGTGGAGCCGGACCAGAGAGGTCCAGCCTGCACCAACTTCATCCGAGCCCCGCGTCTTGCCTACGTCCCACCCCGTCAGCGCCTGACCCTGTTCAATATCTTCATCAACGATTTAGATATTGGTATAGAAAGTACGCTTACTAAGTTTGCAGATGATACCAAGCTGGGAGGTATTGCGACTAATCTGGAGGATAGGGTCATAATTCAAAATGACCTGGACAAATTGGAGAAATGGTCTGAGATAAATAGGATGAAGTTTAATAAAGACAAATGCAAAGTGCTCCACTTAGGAAGGAACAATCAGTTTCACACATACTGAATGGGAAGCGACGGTCTGGGAAGGAGTACGG